TCAGAGAAAAATGTGGAAGATCAGAAGATAAAAAAGATTGGGAGGCCCTTACTGATAATTTAGACTATTTAGACCTAATTATGGTGGCCTTTCAATGAAGATATGATAAACAGAAAAATCACTGGGGGGTACAAAGCCTAAGTAGTGTAAGATGCTTGTGCAAGCATATACAGTAGATGGCAAATAGATTTAAAAGATACACAAATAGTTTGTTTACCTGAGAAGACAATCAGTTCTCTGCTAAAGGCTACTTTTAAAAAAAAATAAGTGTGGTAAGTTTTCAATTTTTAAAAATATTTTTAAATGGTTATAGCACTTCTGTACATGACCAGGGTTGCAACAGTGGAGACTAAAGTCCTCTAGCCACAGAATATGTACAGCATACACAGTGGAAGTGCACGATTCCCCATACTGCACTGTGGCTGTGCCTCAGTCATGACTTGATGTATCAGGTTGTTTCTTTTGTTTCTCTGTTTAATTACTTGTATTACAGTAGCACGTAAGGGCCCAAGGCAGGATCAGGTCTTGATTGTGCATTTACTGTAAAAACATTTAAAATAGATTGTAAACTCTGAGTCAGGGACTAAGTTACAATGATAACAGATGACATGACAACAGTGGTCATGCATCCACCACACAAAAATACAAGAATTAAAAGAAACCACCAGCTCATTACACATAAAACAACTGCACAGGTGTCAGAAGGTAATGACAGTCACCATGTCCTGGGCCTTATTTGTACTGATGACATAAAGATTAAAAGCTCTGTATTATATCCCATTACTAATCTTCATGAGCCACTCAATCCCTCACTATGTTTTATATAATCATACATTCATAAATGTTTAGTATACTGTAGTATATTTTGTTGTTCATAAGACATTTGTATTTATGAAACACAGTTTTTCATATAAACGGATGTTGACAAATGATTTAGACCCCAAAGATAATTTAAGTCCCCACAATTTAATATCTATAGGAAATGTTTTAATGAAGTACTTTGAATTTCAATTATATAGCTTTCTTTTTTGTTAGACATCCCCCGCAGCATTCGCAACCCAAGCACTACAGAAAAGAAACAGAAAACGAAAACTGACTAGACAAATAAGTCAAAACAGCAGAAAGAGTTTTTAAATAATCAGTACTGTCACAAGAGTCACCAGTAAGGACTTCAAAAATATATTGGACCAAATTCTCCTCTTAGTTACACCAACGTGATCCCAATTATTGCAACTGGGTTACACCAGTATAACTGGGAAGAGAATACAACCCATTATTTTTATCTTGACACTATCTCTTTAAATCATATACATCTTCCAAAATAATCATCTTGTAAATACTTTACCATCAGGAAGAGATGTTTAAAAGAAAAAAAATGCTATTTTAAAAACCTTTCTGCATTGCTCTATTTCTCCTCCGACATACACCTCTCTCATTTTACACACTCATACATTCCATAAGCTTTGCATAGTGATTCAGCATTTAGGAGGCATTCAGGCCCAATCCCACAGCCAACCATATGGGGAGCTCCCATTCCCATTAACCTCAATGGTAGCTGCACAGAGGACTTACAGGATTAAGCCCTTTATTTCTAGGCACTTCAGTACCAATTACATATAAAAGATGCAATAAAACAATGCTCACAAAACAAGATTTGGGGTCATACATCTCATTAAAATGCATAAAAATATCAAACATTTCTTTCCTTAACTAACTAGCACGTTTGAAAAAGGATGTCATGTTTGCCCCCTCGTTATTTACACCTAAATTATCAATCCTAAAAATAGACCTCTTGTTGACTGATTTTGAAAATTATAAATTTATCACTTACAATGTGATCACCTCTTTACCAATAATTCATGAAAGGCAATTCCTGACCAGAAGGCCTTCCAAAACAAGACAGACATATAAAAAACAGAATGCAGTGGGAAATCCAAAGATGCATATAACTTGCTTATTTGTCATTATAATATTTGGGAAAGGATAAAAAAAACCCACTCATTTCATGTGGTAAGAATAGTATCTTGGCAAACTGTGATTGGGAGATTATGCATTTTTAGTGCATTTTTGTGCTGTCCTCCATGATACAAATACGCAGGAGGAGGAAACAAAATGTTGAGGGAGGAATTGTTGGTGGAGTAAATGAAAAGAAGAGGATAGGTATGGGACAAGGTCCAAAATATAAGCTCGGCTGGAACTGTCAGTACTTTGGAAGTACAGTTGAGCAATTTAAACATAATGCAATGCACAAGGGAGAATCCAGTGAAAGCACAGTCAATCCCTTTGCTATGTGAAAGGGATCAAAGCAGTGGAAGTTCAGCTCCAAAAGGGCAAAAACCCATCAAGGAAGAGAGCCAACAAGACATGTTCTGCTTGACCTTCAAGCTTACAGAAACTCCTCTGTAAGAATATTGCATAATGGGGCTAGTCAGGTCAAGGGGGCACAGCTGAGTGGAAACGAGAGCCACTCTACACAGTACTCAGCCCTGAGCATACCCATTGAAATTAATGGTAACAAGATCAGCATTAACTCCTGCAGAGTTCTGCTCCATCAACAGTTTCTACACCCGGGATTCTCAAACTTCATTGCATCATGACCCCCTTCTGACAACAAAACTTACTACATGACCCCAGGAGGGGGGGACTGAAGCCTCAGCCCACCCAAGCCGCACCACCCGAGGTGGAGGGGCAAAGCCCCAGGGCTTTAGCGCCAGGTGAGGGGCCTGTAACCTGAGCCCCACCACTCAGAGCTGAAGCCAAAGCCTGAGCCCAGCTGCCCAGGGCTGAAGCCCTCGGGCTTTGGCCTCGACTCAGGGAGGTGGGGCTTGGACTTCAGCTTCTGCCCCGGGCCCCAGCAAGTCTAATGCCAGCCCTGGTGACCCCATTAAAATGGGGTCACAACCCACTTTGGGGTCCTGTCCTACAGTTTGAGAACCACTGTTCTACACAAACCTGAGGTAGAGACTAGGGCACAGGAAGGTAGGGAATGGCATCAAAACTCCTTAAAAAAACAAAAAATAATAATACATGGAGAAGTAACACAAGGAGAGACTGGTAAAGCGGCTGGATGTGCCCCAAGACCTGCAAAATTTCCCCACAAATCTCAGATCATCTACATTATTCCCAGACCTACATCCCCAAATCTTTCTGGAAGCCTGCAAACACTTTATTCCCCACACTGCACCACCCTGAATTTCCTCCTTAAGTTTTCCCTTTCTGCAAGAAGTCAGAAGAGAAAAGAGCAAGACAATCCTTATCAGTAAATTTGGAAGATACTAAGGAGAGAGAATAAAGAATTTCTAATGAGCAACTACACAAAGGAAATATATTTCCGTAGAAATCTAGAAAAGCAGTACATGAAGTCAAAAATAGGCAACGATTACAATACAAAGAGCTTTACTAAATTTTGTTTATATAATAATTTTCTTAAAGAGGAGCTGGACAAATGGATAAATGTAGATACCTCTGGAAATTGTTCAGAATTCAGCATCAAAGAAATGTGTAGATGAAATATTTTTCTATGTGCTAGTGCTACCACTCCTTTTGGGAAACATGCCATATTATTCCCTATCATTTATCATTCTGTGAAATACTTCAAACTTCCTCTCCCTCTCCCTCCCTAACCTCCCACACACACACCCATACATCACAACCACATGAGTCCACACTTTGGAAAGTGACGTTTCAGTCCTGTGAGATACTGTGATGTCATTTCTGCAAGTAGCATAGTAGGAAAATGAGGCTAATTAAACAGAATTCCAGCAATGGACTCACTTTTCTATAGTACCCTAGAATATTCCTAGAAATCGTCTGAGTATCCATCAGCACCTGCCAGGATCTTGTATTTCTGTGCTGAATTACCTAGTAAGCACCTCCCTCCTCATTAAACTCTAATTAGAGACTCCGAATAATTTTAAATGAGGAGGCCCAAATGATATTATTTATAATTAGCTCAAAATTACCACAAGCTATAAAATGTTATACAATGCATGTCAAAATATTAACAAATTTAGAGTCATTTATTTAAATAACATCAAGCATAGTGAATTTGTTTGATCTTAGTAGAAATCTAATCTAATTCAATAGGAACACCAATGCATCAGAGTCTCATAGCAGTATTCTATACACAGATCCAACTTTTCATGATAAGAATAGAGACATTGATCTCTTCTTGCACAAATCCTCTTCACCTTCCAAAATGTTATCTTTTCAATGCAGAATCCATGGGCAGGAATAAAATTCCTTTATCCTTTTTCAATGGAAAAGCATTTTTCAAGTAATATAAAATGGTTTGAAAGAGATATTTTGAGGTATATTTACTTCTAGACCTGACCATTATACAAAACCAATACCATATTCCTAAATCACACATCAATTCAGGCACATTTCTACTGACCAGCTCAGGTTTATAAATCTGTATCAGCACAAGATAAATAACATTTTTTTCAGTTTTTAATTATAAAAGTGTTCAGTTTCTGACTAAAGATTTTGAAAACTGGCAACTTTTATTATTGTTACTGAGCATGCATTAGCAGGAAACCAGAATTTAGTTCATTTAGCAACACTTTGAGTTAAATGGTCTCATGTTTAAAAACAAGGCAAAGGCCACAAACACTTGAGTAGTCTAGCACAATTTTAAAGAGTATTTTGCTGCTTACAGTATCACAATTCAGATTAAGTCAAACCAATGTGATCTATATGGGGATTATAGGCCAAAAAATTGCTGAATTGTGATCCAATGCCAAAACTTCCCTAAAATACCAGGATTAGTGATATTAATCTAGAATTTCAATTCAGGCCTATCTTTAAATTTCCACAATATTTTTTTTTAAGTGGAAACATATTCTAGATTAATTGTGTTTTTTTTCTTTCACTTCTAAAAGTGGTGCAATGACCTCTGAAGTCTTGGTGTCCTGCTAAATAAATATTCTAAAGTAATACAGTTCCACAACAGATACTATTACTTTTAAACTACTGTACATTGTCTCTTTTGTCCCTACCTTGTTGTGTTTCTGCTGGTGTCTTGCCCTAGTGTCCAGGATATGGTAAGGGCTTTCAGAGTCTCTGTTGATATAATAGACCAGTCTTGAAGGCAGTGTGATTTCTTTCTGGATTTCATTGCTCTGGTTGTTATTCTTACTGCTACTCTGTAGAAATGTATTCTCTTTATCTGCCAGTGCTCCTGCTATTCCTCCTGCAGTTTCATTCCAATGCAGAGCTGAGGAAGAAAAGTAGCCTGCCATAAACTAAAGTGCATAAAATGAAGCTAGAGATATGTTTTGCTGTATTCCAGTGTATTATTCGCTTAAACAGAAATAACAGACTGCTCATTAATGCAGTATGTTTGATTCATTTTTACACTTTAAACGTTTTTCTGCTATCATGTATTATTTAAATTCATGTATATTTTCACATGCAATTTCGGATGTTGAGTATTTTAAAGCCTTTCATCTTGGGGGAAGGGAGGGGGAAATCTCTTAATGGACATGCAGTCCTCCCTTACACTTCTCTGTGCTGGCTGCACACAGGCACACTGTGCTGTAGTGAACCATGCATACATCTGCGAAACTGCTGGGAACACTCCCCACATTCCTAAGACAACTTGAGTCCCGAGTTTATGTGCACTGAATGTTAATCAATTCCCTTTACATAATGGCCAATTTTCCCTATTCTTGTAACTTTGAGAATGCCAAGAGCACTTCTAGCAGGCAGCATTCCAGGGTTTTCCTGCTCAAACCCCCATTTCCTTTCTGTTCATTTTCAAGGTATCTGGTATCAATCAATCTGGCAAGCAATATAATAGCAGTAATAATAATAATGGCATATTGAAAACAATTGCATCCAGCATTCCATTTAAATGCAGCTCAAACCTTCAAAAACATATTGTATTTTCAGATATGTTCTTCCCACAAACATCACAAAATACTCTCCCAAACATTATTTGTTTCTGCTTCATCAAAGCATTTTATACATAACCTCCCCACAACTGAATACAGGATTTAAAGAGGGGTTTAACCCATTACTGCTTGGAATTTTTAAAATGCACAAAATAGATACACGCCCCATATTTGGAGATATGGCAATGTCATATGCGGAGATATGACAATTACTATTAAATGCAGAAAACAGACTGGCATGGAAGATTCTTGGGGTGGGGGAAATGGATGGCTGGACAGATCACTCTTGCACACCCACACACCTGGCTCTCTCACACACACACAGATGGGCAGATCTCTCACACCCAGAACTCTTACACACACACACACACACACACACAAAACCACCCCCGTGTCCCCTGCGCCGGGGGCGGCGCGCTGCCAGCGCCAAGGGCAGCTCTCTACCCACCGGTGGCTGCAGCAGCCCCCCAGGGCTGGGGCCAGGCGGGGCCGGAGAGGAGCAGCAGCCCCAGCAGCAGTTGGAGGCGGCTGGGCGGCCGGAGCCTCAGGCAGGAGGCGGCTTCGCGGAGGCTGCGGCCGGAGAGGGGCTGCCGCAGGGCGCTGCTGCCAGGAGGCTTCATGGCTCATAGCTCCCGGGGCACCGCTCTAACGGGGGCTGGGGGCGGCCGCAGCGAAGGAGCCGGGGACGGGGCTGCCCCTCTGCGGCGGGGATCACAGCCACAGCCGCACCGCCGCCCTCATACTGCCCCGGGGGGAGTGTCTCTGGCGCTGTCCGGAGGGGGCGCGGCACCCCCTCCCCACAGGTCCCAGCTGCAGCTTCCACCGCGGCACCAGCTCGCCTGGCTCCCTCCTCGCCGCTTGGCTGCTAAGGGCTGCTGCTGCTGACTGGGCGCGCGCGACTCCGTCCCCCTCTATTCACCCACCCACCCACCCACCCATCGCTAGCGCGCGCACGGCGCCTGCTCCTCCCCTCTCTTCCCCATCCCCGGCGCGCGCCCGCACCCCCCCCATTACTCGTTCGCCTGGCGGTGTTGCGGCGCGAGCCCCCGCCCCGCTCCCCTCCCCACAGGCTTGCAACTGTCGCTGCGCGCGCACGCACCGGGAAGAGGCGAGAGGGTCTCAGGCGCAGAGATGGGGAAGAGCGCGCGCGCGCGCGAGACAGTGGTCCCTGATGCTGGCGGGCGGGGCGCGTGCTTCTTCCGTGCAAATGCAGCAGCGGCGAAGTGATGCAGCAGCCGGGCCGCAGAGAGCGCCGAGCCCCTGTCCCCCAATCCCCCCCCCGACCCCGGTCCCTGCTGCACAGGCGGGCAGCCCCCCACCCCTCCCCCCAGGAACGGGCACCTCTGCCTCGGCTCCGCAGGGCTCTGCCCGCCTGCCTCTCGCCAGTGGCTCACAGCAGGGATTTACTGGTTGCTTTGCGAAAGGCTGAACGCTGGACTAAGAATCAAATTGGACTCCAACTTCTACTTATTAAATGAAATGCGATGGGCCATCTTCTTATCCTGCGGTGTAAACAGAAATGTTACTTCTAACCACTTAGGAATTATTAAGGAGAAGTTGTCTGGCCTATGCTATGTAGGTGGGCAGGCTGGAGGATCACAATGGTCCCTTCTGCCCTGGGAGTCCATGAGCCAAGCCAACTCGTGTTTCAGACTTTCAGATTTGCATGACCTGGGTTCTTTCCTCGTTGCAATGAAACCAAATTTGCTAACAATTCTTGGCGAATTGAACATTTTATTTGCAGAAACACTGGATCATGGCGTTTCCAAAAACAAAATATGAAATTGACATTCTTGTCTGTGATCAGCAGTGGTGACAAGACAAGACTATCAGTTTCACTGGCCACTGCTGGGGTTCCCAGGATCTGCAGTTTCAGGGTATGGCCACCATGGGGCTTACCCTGGGACCAGGGAGCCTTGGGCTTCCAGGCTCCCTAAGTCCTGATGCAGAGCTGTGGATGTTGACTAGAAGTAGCAAAACATATCACTTTTGTGAATTGGCATCTCAGACCAGCTCTAGTCTTCAGTCACAAAAAATATAACAGGAAAGGCCTCAAATCAAGTTGTTTACTGCACCAGCTAATTGACTTCAATGGATCTCTGGGCCATTGCAAAGGTACATGCAGAACAACTTGAAAGTTCAGAGCCAAAGAAAGATACTTCTATGGAAGTACTGTCTGAGCAATGACTGCAGTGCTTTGCGCAATGTACTTTAAAAAGGCTGGATAATTTAATGAATAATAATAATAAATATAATAGCATTTTTTCTCCAAGGATCTGAAAGCACTTTCCAAAGGTGAGTAAGCATCATCTTCTCAATTTTATAGAAGGGGAAACCGAGGCACAGGACAGTTAAGTAATTTGCATAAGACTATATAGCTAGTCAGTGGGAGAACCAGAATGTTTAATATTTCCCTTAAAAATACTCAGACACTGGAAGGATGGAAGAAGAAGAGCATAAAATATCTTCAGCTGGCAGTGGATGAACATGGCAGAAATATATTAATCTTTTTTTGAAAATTATATACTGACTGAAGACAAGAAAAGACTGAAGACAAGAAAGCCACATATGCAGCAACAGGTTAGGAATGAAAAGCGTCCAGTGTCCTGGAATACAGATAAAGGTCCCAGTACTGCAGTCCTTACCCAGGCAAAGTACTCATGAACGTCAATGGGCATTATGGCTGAGAAAGGACTGCAGGACTAGACCCAAAGTATAGCAAATAGCCTGTATATATATGTGGCCAATGATTAGTTAAATTAAATCATTGAAGATGGAACATAATTTGATCAATAGTCAAGTGTTCATCATTATACAGTACACTGAAATTAATGGACATAACATGACACTCAGTGAGGGGTGACAAAATATCTTTGGAGGGGAGCCTAACATGATATATTTACTTTTTTTAAAAAGCATGCTTTAAGAATTTTTTATAAATCCCTTTATATTTCACAACTTTCACCTGATCAAGCAGAAATGGGTAGAGGTTGTTTGGTTTGTTTTTAAAAAGACAGATCATATTCCCAAAGTTGAGATCAACAGAGAAGATATAGATTAATCCTGATACTAATGAAAATTTTAGTTGCATTAGGAGGAAAAAATGAAGCTTGTCAGGACTGATGAATTGGGAATTTTTTTTTATATTCAGCTAACTAAAATATACCTCTACCTCGATATAATGCTGTCCTCGGGAGCCAAAAAATCTTTACCGCGTTATAGGTGAAACCGTGTTATATCAAACTTGCTTTGATCCACCAGAGTGCGCAGCCCCGCCCCCCCCCGGAGCACTGCTTTACCACGTTATATCCAAATTCGTGTTATATCGGGTCGCGTTATATCGAGGTAGAGGTGTAGTTTATTCTAGTGGTGAAATCAGTACGGGACAGTGGTTTTTCTCCAGAATATAATAGCTTCAAAAATTTAAGGGAGGCACTTTTGTTCAGTGGATAATGCACTGGACTGAGATCAGGAGATCTAGGCTCTATTCCTGGTTCTGCCACTGACCTGCTATGTGACCTTGAGCAAGTAACTTTACCTCTCTGCCTCAGGTTCCCCATCTGCATAACGGGACTAATGACACTTGCCTTCCTTTGTAAAGCACTTTGAGAGCTATTTTGTGAAAACATTATATAACAACTATTATTGGTATGCTTATAATTCTTACAAGTTCTTTTTCCTAAACGTGCAAGTTTCAGTTTTTGAAGAAATGTTTTCTTTTTTGTTTTGTTTTGTGGTAGTCCTTAGATGCTGTGGCAAATAGCAGAGAGTTTGCTCTATGCTTTATATTTTAAGGTAATTATTGGGACAGAACGGTTTGTTGAGAAATGGTTTCTTGTGTGTGGGCTGAAATTTCTGGATTGCCTGTGTGGTATTTATGAATGATTCTGTTTCCTCTGAGCATCAGGAAATGCATCCATGATAGCCCTATTTTAAGAAATGGCATAAGGTACAGTAAAGTAGTTCCAGTCAAAACAGTAACTTATGTTTATCATGAAAAATAAACATTGAAAACCAATTTCAACTTTTTACAATAATTCATCCAATCTATATAAACCAAGAGTTCACACCAATCCAAGTTCACCCCACAAAGTACTGTAGTTCCTTGGAAAAGGGGGTCTGAAGGATTCATCAGACACTCAAAAATCAAGTGACTGCTGTTGCCCCTTTGGCTGAACCAGTTGGCCAAAACTTGTGGCCTTGTTTCTCTTAAGAGGAGACATTAATAATACAAGTCAGGTATACTTTTTGGTGCAATCCTGTTTATTTACAAAGAATATACACAAAGTCCTGTTTCCCTGAACACAGCAGGAACAACCAACAGCAGGCAGCTTTGTTCACTGTTCCCAAGCCTCATGCAAGTTCCATTCCCCCAAAGAGCTCTGTCACACTGCTCTTTCTCAAGGCCACACTCAATAACTGCCTCTCTCACTCCCTGCTTGCTCTTTTGGCTTTCTGCCTCTTCCACACTCAGAGACAAGGTGGGTGAGGTAATACCTTTTATTAGACCAACTTCTGTTGGTGAGAGAGGACCAGCTTTTGAGCTTACAGGCTCTTCTTCAGGTCTGGAAAACTTACTCAGAGTGTCACAGCTAAATACATGGTATCACACACACACAGCCAAAAACAATCTGCTAGCCCCTGCATGTACAATGATGGAATCCCTCAAACCACACAGTTTGGCTTCTGATCAGTGGCTTCTATTGTTTCCAGCCACAACTATGCAAAAGGGACTTAATTGCTGTTTCCATTTAGTCTGAAAAAGGGTGTTTAGCACAACCATCAGTTTTAACCAGGTCTGATATGGTCTATAAAGCAAAGACCCACTTGATGGCAGCCATTAACATCTTGCAGCATACCAACACCCCCTCCCCTCCCCCCCCCCCAAAAAAAAACCTCAGCTCTGCCCATCATTCAATGGAGCTTAAAATGATGAAACCCTGAAGGATTTATTTCCCCGACAGAAAGAAAATAAATCATTTACGAAATTAAAATGTATACAAGTTTAGCTATTTTTACATAGTGTCTTTCTGTCATGACTTTTCACATCACCAATCCAAATCAATTTTACTTCCTCATCCTCTGTAAAGCGCATTGAGATGTATATACAAGCTAAGTATTGTTATTATTATTAGAAACTTTTAGTCATACAGCCTTTTTTAGAACAGTCATAGCAAACCTCAAATGATATTCTCCCCCTCTCCCACACAAGCTGTTATAAAAAAATGAAAAAGTGAACTACAAAAAAACAATTAAAAATGATACAACAGCTGAAAAGACAGAAGTTCCGTACACCTTTTTCACTCCTTTTAAAATGGAAATCCTGATGCAAGCTTAACTGTGGTGGCACTACCACCTCACCATAATATTGCTGTGTCACATTAGTGTCCTGGGTAGAGTTAGTGGTGAAAATTGGGATAATTTGCTCAAGGGCTTCCACAGATACAGTCCTCCAATAAAGGAGCTGATGTGAATAATCAAAGTGCTCAGACAACTACATGCATATCTTGAAAATTGGTATGCCACAAAAGGGGCTAGGGTAGAATCTGCAGTGAACATCTGAGGTTATTTGGTCAAGGACTTACTGATATACAACTCCTCTGCCCCCATGTTATAAGCTTCTTTTAACTTAAAAAATTATCTAAAATCCACATCCACAAAAGAGATTGTCTTGAAAACTGGCATGTCGTGACAGGGGATGGGATAGTGTTTGTAATACAAATTTTGGGGCATTTGGTGAAGGGGTTCCTGATATACAGCCACCCCCACATTATGATTTTTAAAAACTTTCAAATCGCTCTAACATCTGCATACATAGTGAGAATATCTTCGGTAGTATATGCCACAACAGTAGTGGGGTA